GTTTGTAACCAGGGGGGGGGGGGGGGGGGGGGGTTCTGGAGAAAAACATGAATTAAATGAAATACATCAGTAAACAGGTCTATTACAGAAAGCCAGGCTTCAGTATGGATATAGATAGTTTGGGAGATCTTCATAAACACTCGTTCAGAAATATTCATGCTTTCTTTTAATTTGGATGCTACCAGCTTTATAAATGCTCTGAAAAGCAGACAGTTCACATTTTGCTTGATGACATTTTAGTTAAACCCACATTGAGTCAAACATTTCAATCATGAAATATACAGCTTTAAGATTTGATAGTAAACAGATGGAAATAAACCTTTTAGTATTATGGACCTATTTGAAGTCTCTATGTTTTCATATTTCATCTACATTGCTTCTACAGTCAAACCTGTCTATAGCGACCGCCTAAGGGAAACACAAAAAGTGGTCTTTGTAGACAGGTGGTCTTTGTAGACGGGTTCCTTTAGTACATGTTTCAATGAGAAACCATTTTCAAGGGAAACAAAAAATGTGGTCCTTGTAGACAGGTGGTCTTTGTAGACAGGTGGTCACTAAAGCAGGTTTGACTGTATTATTAAACCCAGGTGTATAAATGGGTACTCTGTAGGATGCAGACATCTCTAGTTAAAAACCAACTCTTCCGCACCTGCAAAACCGACCACCTGGCTAGAACGCTCCCCATAGAGTAAAGAGTATATGCACTATTGGTGCAGGATTGTAATTCAATCCAATGTAATACTGAATGTGAAAGTACATACAAGTGTCTCAAGTCTAATATGAGTGGATGCATATGAGCTATATGCGAGTCAATGCAATTTAAGTATCAATATGATTACATGGGTGTGACCTACTGCACACAAAATTGGTTCAACTGTACGAAAATATATTATGTAAATTCCTTTAGTATTATTTTTGCATTGATCTCCATATTTCTCTTGCAATTATTTAACCATGAAGGTGTTCAAACAGGGTATTTTTAAGCAAATTAAGATAATTATCTGATGGAGCAGTAAAATTGTAGACCAATCTCCTTTCATATAAAGCGTAAACTTGACATTAGTAATATGAAAACGTGTACCGGTACTCAAATCACTGATCACACCATATGATTAAACCTCATCAACAAACAAATTCAATACACCTATTTTTTTTCATATCATGATAAATTAATTTATTCACTTTGATTACTGATTACCGAGAAATTATATTCAAGCAATAAAACCACCCTCAAAGAAAAATAAGAAAAACACTTAATTTTGTCAACAGTTGAAATATGTAAGCTCATCATTTGAAAGCATTCCTGAAGATTTTAGAATTTTTTTTTTTTTAAATGCCCCTTTGCATATTAATTTAGTGTGTATTCATATTTCATGTACATACAAGTACACACAGTAATCTATAGTTATTTTTTTACAGATAGTACATGAGGAAGGGTATGATAATACTAAAGAAATATTTTAAAGAAATAATAATAATAAAGAAATATAACATTCAATTTCTGTTTTCATAGAAATTGAAAACATATTGTACCAAAATGAAAGAAAAAAAAATAGACAACATATAAAACCATTCAAAAGAAAGAAAACACCTTAAACAGATTGGTCAATTTCAACTGATCCTTAAAATAGTAAATGCTGAGAATATAAAATGAAAAAAGGAAATAAAAATCAGTACTGGTTGTGATGTATTGATATCTACATATGTCCAATATTCACCACAGAGTGGGTCTCTATACCACACTAACAACATTCATTAAATACCAGTATACAAATCACTGGAATATACTACCAATACAACATCTACCGTAGTATAAAATAATAACCTGTAATTCAACAAAGCATCTTACAATATTCCTTGACTAGATTATAATTGTAAATAAAGTACAAATTACATACATGTACACACAAATTTTTGGGTCATTCCATACATGGGGGGGGGGGGGGATATAAAAAGAGTACATTTTATGTTGTCTTTCCATTACCCCCAAAATACCAATATTTATATAAACAATACAGAAAACATAGACCCCTTTCCCATTTGGGGTTTCTATTTAACCTATCTAACAGATTAATCAGCTATATCATAAGATGGCCAAATAACAGGTGCCATCATGATTCAGCTTCATTCCATCTGTAATCTTGACAAATTCACCCCTTTTATAATAATAATAATAATAATAATAGCCTAATAGTCCACTCCAAATTTTGTTAAACCAATAGCTTAGACTAAAGGGGTTTTGGTGTTGCACATAATTTACTGAAAATAAATGCAGCAATTACACAATTTCTTTCAAAACAAAGAAAATGCCCAGCACTTCAATGCTCAGCACTTTAATTACTTACATGTAATGAACTCTTACTCGCTACAAAATTTCTTTCAAAACAAAGAAAATGCCAGCACTTCAATGAACATCAGAATAAATAACACATGGTATAGATGCCAATTTGAAATGATGCAAATTAAATCAGTACAGTATACCATTTTTTTCAAACTCAATTCAAAGTGGTCAAAATCTCAAGATCAATTGTCTAATACCCTAGAAAAACCGGAAATCCTCATCTTAATAACAATTTTGCAATTGACTAGAAGTGTCTAATAAAAAACAGTATCAGAATCTCATGTTTTATATCATTAGATAAACCTCATGAGTTTTCTACATGAATACATACAGAATGATACTCTTCTGTTACCCAGTTTTTCTAGCTTTTGCATCAACACGACATCAGAAATAAGAGAAGAAAAGTCTTTCTTAATATAACCCGTTTTTTAAATATATAATTCGACTTTTGCATGTACCTCGTAGAGAGACAACTTTAGTTCAATGGTTGTATGCCAATTTCCTTTTTAGTTTACAATTAGAGAAGCGTTCTTGAAGAAATGAGACGACTGAATTTAACTATAAACCAATATGTGCATTTTGAAGGAATAAAATACATAATAAACATTATGCATGAGTTCATGTAACATAAAAAATACTACATAAAAACTTAGAATGGTCTAAATAAAAAAGAACTGAAGGAAGCACTATATATTGGCACAGGTTAACGCATTGAAATCAAGCAGTACTATTACTTGTGTGAAAGAGATCTTAGCTAAAGTGCGTATATTGAGCCTATACAGAGATATAGAGAATACAAAATCATGAAAATATGCCTTATCAGGCTGTTATTTTGGACATGAAAAAAGCATGTCCTGTACAGCCATCATACAAACTTTATAATCATATTTCAAAACTGAAGAGTACATAGTTAGGGAAATACAAAGAGCACTGAAATATATTTAATTTTAGTACCTTATCTATTACATAGCAACATCAAGCACCATCCTTGGAAAAATTCTGGTGCATATTACAGGTGTCTTCTTTGATAAATACAGGAAAACAAATATCATATCATACTGAAAATCAGTCTATTTTGTTTTATATTTTTGATCAATGAAACCCTGTTCAGTGATTGGTCAACATAGCATCATGTGACCAAACATAACCTTGCTATGATGTAACCGTGACGTCATCCATGGTATAGTGCAAACTATACCATGGCACTATACTATAGATGACGTCATATATATGCGATTGATCGAGAGCAATGTGCTATCGGTCGCGGTGCTGCTCTCACTGCACTCAGTACTTCAGTGACAATTAACATAATTATTATTATTATTATTTTTATGAAGGTTGGTTTGAAAAATATAAAACAAATATATCATGCAATATTTCAAGCCACTAGCTAAAATTATGGATTCCTCGGCGAGAGAAATGGCACTATTTTCTTCGGGGCTATGCCCCTCAGAAAATAGTGCTATTCCTGCCACCTCGATCCATAATTTCAACTAGAGCCTCTCAGTGCATGGTATATTTGTTTACTATGATATATCCAACTGAGACTATGTTGGCTTCATCTTTAATATAGTCAAAAATACAAAAATGTAAACAATATTTCAAAAAATCATCCAAGAAGATGGATATTTTGTCTCATTTCACATGTGCTCTACCTCCCCCCCCCCCTGAAAAAAGGAGGTGTGCATATCAAAATGTGTAGACAATGATAAATTGTATGTCACTAACAATTTCTTTCGTTGGAGATCTGTGGTGAAAACAAATTTGCATAAAATGTGGGCAGTTTTGCAGACTCACAGACGTACATGTAGTTGATAAACTTCACAACTGAAAAGATTTTTTGTCCTTCTTGTTTCGTTAATCAGCGCACCGACAATCAAACTGTCTAGTGTATTGTAGAGTTAAACACTAATGGATTATTATATTTTCCATTCTCTATCAATCTTTTGCTTGTAATGGATATTTAAGGACCCTACACCTGCTTATCAAGGATAAACACAAGAAATGTTAAATTCTGGATCTTCACTCAAACAATTCCAAGACTGCATGACAAAAAGGCTGAAAATGACTCTGATTCACCTCAAAATCACACTACTTACAAATACAACATGTGGTGCTATTCATACTATCACATGGCAGCATTGATTTCACAATATATTATATCTATGAATTAGGACAATAGTGCCAGGTATGAGCAAATTTACACACAAACAGCAAATCAGTTTGGCAATCAAAACATTACAAGAGTTGCATTTATCAAAAAGAGCATTTGTTATAAATAACAATATACCTGCTTGAGACCACATTTCTAATTTACAGTTGTACATGTATATATATTTCTTTCTGTGTGGCTTTGTATTCCATAAACATTGCCAATACATCATTATCTCATTAAACACAATTAATGAATAAAAAATATATCTACAAATATATTTTAAGTACTATCCTTGACATCAACAATTAAATATTTTCCTCTCTTGAAGATACATTGTGATTTTTAAAACCCTGTTTGGTTTATCATTGATAAACATCATATCTACTAATACAGTCCAACTTGCCTGTTAAGACCACCCAAGGGAAACAGGAAAACTGGCCACTTTAAACAAGGGTCTTTCTAGACAGGTTCTTCAACATACATTTCTTCAAACTATTTCGACAAAATAGATGACCACCATAGACAGGTGACCTTTATAAATAGAGGTGGTCAATAAGACAGACTTGACTGTACTGGTAAGTGGTTATAGAAAGTAATAGAAATTCATGTCATCACATTGAATGGCATCCAAATCACTCAAGCGTTGCTGAATATTTCAAAAAGCAAGCTTTGTAAAATATCAATTGCAAAAATTAACATCCGAATGATCAAAAACTCAGATGGCAATGGAACATTGGAACAGTAAAGAATGAGCTTTTTACCACTCCTAAACAAATAATTAATCCTTGAATTTAATATACTAGAGATTAAAGATAAAGTTGTCGATTTCAATCATCGTAATTTTTTTGTTAATGATGCAACCAGGCAGTAAAATGGAGACAATACAATACTTACGGTTCCAAAGAAGTATTACCGGTATGCGATAGCTCCTGCTGGTACAGAAAAGAGAACAAAGTTTGGTTCTATTGTTGCAAAAGGGAAAAACCAGAAAGCATGTATGTAGTACTGCGCGGTCCCCTAAAAGCTGGAATCCCTTTACATCATACTTCCAAAGGCCCACTTTGCAAAACTCTCAAGGAGCTTTCCAACGGCACTCTTGTCGCCCTCGTCCCTCGAGACGAAGGGTGTCTTCAGGGGCTTGTTGAGGACGTCGGCTAGCTTTGGAGGCTCCCAATCGGGCTGGTGGAAGGTCAGATTTAACATGGCTCCCCAACGGCTGAAGATGGCCTTCTCGGTGATGAAGCGATGACCGCCGAGGTAGCGGGTGTCCTCGTGGCTCTTGTAATAGTCGCACTCCGTGGGGTTGTCCCATGTCTGGAAGTAGTGGTAGCGGATCTTGGAATCTAGGTTATTCCTGTGGGATGGATGAAGAAGTGAAAAAAGGAAAGAAAGTTGACAACCATGAATAATTGTATGATCTCAGGTTAACAAGCCTGATAATTACCCAATTTAAATCGGTTTCCCAATTTAAAAAAAAAAATTCTTCCCGATTTCCCCCTGATTTTCCCCAATATCCTTACTCAAAAGGGGGGGAATGTTGTTGGATGCCATTTTTTCCCAAAATCCTTTTTTTTTAACTTGGGGGGGGGGGGTGGGGTTATATCACCCCTGGTTAAGTATCACTATTCTCAATCATCTGTTCAGAGCAAGAAGGGAGTTAGCTCTGTGTTAGACTGTATGGTTAACACCCTTCTGGCTCCAAACAGATGTAACAATATTTATCACACTGACTTTGAAGAAACACATGTACCTAATCTGAAACTCTATGTAATCATTTATCAACTCTAATGCACCCCCAAGAATAGTATCAAAAGTCACTTTGTATCCAGTGGAAAGGGCACATTATAACCTGCTGCTAATATCAGTATCATTAAAGGCATGACAAGTGACAAAAAATACTTGTACATAGACACTTCCATGTAATTTGCAAATTACAACATTGTATCTTTTTGGGTATTCATTGAAAACCAGAAAGACTCTCTTAAAACATCTCAATACCATCTGTTGAGAGACAGAAGGGTGTTAAATGATATAAATCTACACTCTACAGCGTTAGTCCCCTTCTTGCTCTCAGCAGACGATATCTGAATGTTTAAGCTCAACACTATTTCACAGACATGGGTGCTAGCAGCTGTAGAGCACTAGTACACACTGTGGGCATATTTGTTCTATCACCAATGGCATCATCTTTTCACTCGAGGTGTACACGAGCAACATGTGTAATATACTCATGATGAATGAATCATACCATTAAAAACCACAATGCAGAGAGCAGCTGTTTAAAAATGTTACTTGCATTGTCAGATTTTTCAACCACAAGGTTTAAGATCTTATAGATAGATTATGCAGCTTTAATGCAAAAACATCATGGAAATACTATAATAATTATAAATCCCCTATAATAAGAATTATAATTCCTTGCAGGAAAGTGCAAGAATTATAGGCCACGCCAGGTAATGCAAAGTATTTTCAGCCATTCAAAGCTATTATCAATCTGAATTTGATCTACAATGTATGTATATACATGTATCATGTATATGAACATAATTTCATCTGCCATAAAATATGGAATAGCACAATTGAGACATGTTTAATGATGTTGAGTTCTAGAAATTTGTTTTTGGAATTATTCTGTCTACTCTATAAAAAATTACACTGATGAGAACTTATTTATGGAAAGCTCTACAAGCTCTTTGGTAAAATAAAATTGCTAGATTGAAGTTTCACTGCAACCAAATTTAGCTTCCATGAAAGAAACAAAATATTTCCGCAATCAAGGCTTAAAACTTTTTTCCTGGCAAGCACTCAAATACAAAATCAAATCACAGATGTCAACATTACAGACAGTTAAAGCGCATGTGTGTTTTTGTAAAGCCCCCCAAAAATTGGTAAAGCTTGTGTCATATTTTCTAAATTTTAGTTGAGAATAGCAATACACAGCCATGAAATATTTATGTAGGTACTTTTAGTAAAACATTGAGAGCTACTGTGAAGTGTGAGCAGAAATATAACTACACTGCAAGTGCTACCCTTTTACCCATGACAATTTTGGCTTGCATTTTTTTTTGTAGCATCAGCTAAAAGCAAAATCATGTTCATGCCAAAATCTGCTCTCTGGAAAAAAATCATAATGCATTGTTACAGGCCTACAGGGGTCTATCATTGCTGAACAGTAAGATACTACACATACATGTAGAAAATAAATGCCATAACTCCAAAGCATTAAATATTTGAATCAGGAGGGAATATGTTTTGATTACTGCTCCCAGGGGAAGGCACTTATGAGAATAACAGATTTTTTTTGTTTACACGACAAACAAGAGCGTTCACAATTACGATGAATAGGTCACAATCCAGTGACCTATTTGCCAATTTGAGATTTGCATAGATTTAGTGATCTCATATTTCAAACACTCATAACCATCTTATTATTGGTATGATTGACAGGTATTTAAAACTTTCGCAGTTCTGTTTCTCTTATTTTTCCAATTTCATAAAAATCTGGGTAGCGTAAGTTTGGATTGCCCTTTAACTAAAGTGCCACTTCATGGCGGAAAAGGAAATATCCTGTGTACCGGTTTTCCGACAACCAAGCTCAAAATACAACAAAAATTGAATTGCAAAATTCCAAAGACAACAAACATTCAACTCAAGGGGGATTGCAATACACTATGGTATTTTCAGAAGAATTTTTTTTCAGATGATGTAATACATACATGTACGTTATTACATTTGAATATTTCATTAGGTGATGCGCAAAGCAATTGAAATAACTTAAAGTTTAATAATTAAAAAGGAAATTGCACTAATGTTTAAATGAGGAGTGTTGTATTTAAAGGGAAAAATCGTGTTTGTTCACTGACAAACCCCACACTTTGAGTCATCTTACAGCTTTCAAGGCTATTTGAAGAAATTGCTAATTTGGTGTTACATGTATGAGAGATTTCAACTGTATATTTACATAATGTAGATGTTTCAAGAAAAACAGCTTTTCACCAAATTCGAAACCTCCCCCACCTCTCTGGTGCAATGCTCACTTAAAAGAAAGGATTAATTCCTTTTGAAAGAATAGTCATGGTTTCAAACCGTATAATCAGACTATAATACTTACTCGCAATAGTTCTCATTCACCATGCCATACATATGGACCTCTTCACACATATCCAGAGCGAGAAGTATGGTGTACCATCCTGTTGATAACCAAGTGTTGGTATCGTACCTGAAAACGGAAGATGTACAAAGAGATTGGTCATTCAATATGGTTGAGTCAATTTTATGGGCACAAAGGACTGAGAAAGGTTATTTTCATAGGGTCGGAGTAATTTTTGTGGCATACCTGGGCCTGTTTCATAAAATTTGTTATCAATAACAAATTGTAATGACTGTTATAAGCTACTGAGAGCAAATTTGTTGAAGAAAAGTGACTCTTGTAATATTGATAACAAGTTTTATGAAACATGGGCCCAGAAGTGAGAAGTTACATGTACAGTGTAGTCAAGCTTTCAACCATAACAATGTTTGTTCAGATTGAGTTTAGCACAAAGAGCATATGTTTCATAGTGGATCAAATTGATCAATATGATAGAACCAAAGTTCATAAAATGTTATACATAATATAATAATACATTTATAGAGAGCAGAAACTATCCAACATTGAGTATATATTTTACTGTACTACACAGGTGCGGATCCATTGCATAAAGAAAATATGAATATCATCTTTAGCTTTGATTAAGAAAATTTGAACATGTTATCAGTATCAAACAGGGAAAAAGAAGTGGAGAGGAAATTAATCAAAACGAACATTTAAGATACCTGCTAAATGTTCATTCAAGATGGATATGAATGCAGGTATATTAAAATGTGAAATAATTCATTATAGAGCGATGATAAATCAATTATTTGACGTTGATTGATTCGTTCATTTTACATGAAAATGATCAAACAATGTGTTCTGAGGTCATATTTATTGCAATTTTAGGCAGCTTAACCACCAGCGTGTTATTGAACAATATGTTCAATAAAAAATGTTTGTAAAAGGTATGTAACCAGCTCAGCGCATGGTTGCAACTTAAAAATTGCATTCTTTCATACAATACCTCCACATTATCTTTCCTTTCCTGGTGATGCTACAGCACATCTGACATAGCAACTATATGTTGGTATTGTATGGTTTATTGTAATAGGTGGTCGGCTCTGGTGAAGCTACACCACTGTCTCTTGTTAGCTCACTAATGATTGACAGATGATGTCACAAGATGAATGAGATCTTGAGCATTTGTTTTACGGTAGAGCTTAGCAGGTCTGAAACAATTATTCTAAAAAATATTTAAAAATCTAAGAAATATATTTAGATGTTTGAATAACAAAATATGAGTTGTTTGCAGCCCTGCACATCAACAGGAATCAACTTATGTTTGGATGTAACATTGTTAAGATGAGAGAAAATTGTAACAAAGCAATGAATTGGCTCTACATTTAAAACACAGATTTATAAGCAACATGTACCCTACTGCCTAAGTCATTTAAAGAAAGAAAAAAAAAAAGATAATTAAGTTTATGGTTCACATTTCTGAATGCTTCAACCCCAAGAGTAAGACCCTACTTTGGAAATTCCTGTTACACAGACAGAATAATAGACAGAGTGCAAATTGCTTACAGTATTGCTAGGTTGGGCAAGCTTAGTCTAATGCCTGTAACAAAGTATTGCATTCACTTGTTAAAAATCGTTATTTCTGTGGTCAGAATAGAGATCTGTGTTGTTGGGTTGGACAAGCTAAAATTTTTGTCTAACCTACAGACACCTAATGCAAGCAATATGCATTCTGACTACCAACATACAACAAGTAACAGGTAATTTTCAACATTTTCAACTCATGGTGTAGTGGATAAGTCACTTGACTGTGAATCACATGGGTTGTGGTTGGAGTCCCGCGGCGGCACTAATGTCCTTTGGTAAGAAATTAATCTACATGTACCACACTCGACCCAGGTGAGGTAAATGGATACTTGGCAGGAATCGTTTCCTTGACAGACATGAGCACTATACCAGAACCAACGATGATTATTATTAAATATAGCTGAAACCTCTTTTAAAACTTACTTATTTTTGCCAGTCTCATTCTGAAAGATCAAATCAAACTGCAGCTCTCCAACTTCGTCCAAGGAATAAAAATCCACCTCTGGGTACGACTTGACCATGATCTCCGCTTTCTCCAACGCCCATCTGTGGTTAGGCTCATTGAGGCCGAAGAAAACGATCTGCTCCGGCCGACTCTGCTTGTTAGCTGGATTGAGGAGGTTACCCGAATCGGCATTGACCGGTTCGGTCGACATATGGCACACAACGCGCATTGTAGTCCTTGAACCTACGTCCTCCTCAAAGCCCTCTATGGGGGAATTGTTCATGCGGATCACGCAGGGCATTGAGTCAATCTCTCTACCTCTCTTGCTTCCCAGCATGTGCCCAGCGCTGGATATAACTGCACATTTCTTGCATTTTTTTTTTAATGGCTGCAAGGGATGAGAAACAGTAATCACACAGATTTAGGGTGCTGTGATTGGCACACACATACGTTTTTTTAAAGGAAATCTCTTTATTGGACACTATAGAGCAATGCTGTGAATTAATTCAGGCAGCTCCACAAAGGTAATAGGCAGTGTGACTACTTTTCACAAGTAAGCTTGTCCTCTGAAACTTTGCAGAAGCCCTCATTTTTTTAAAAATATGTATAAAGTTTATAAAATTTGTATCCAATAAATAATGATACAACTGTTGTCTACATCTACATACAGTGAGATGAAGTAACTTCCTCCTGCCTCCAAACAGAAGACATCTTCCGGCAGTAGCCAGAAGGGCATTTACTCTACCATAAATCTCTGTGTAAAAGCGCACCTGTGTATAAGGCGCACCCCTATTTTAAAGACCCAAAAAAAAAAATCAGGAAAAAAAATTCGGGGAAAAAAAAAATCCGTCATCTTTAGTTTTAAAACCAACATTATTACTAGGTCTAACTTAGTTCTAATCGGCAAGGTTTTGTTGCCACTACGGAGATCTAAAAACAATAATTATCGGCAAGGTTTTGTTGCCCCTACGGAGCTCTAAAAACAATCAATATCGGCAAGGTTTTGTTGCCCCCTACGGAGTTCTAAAAACAATCATTATCGGCAAGGTTTTGATGCCCCTACAGAGCTCTAAAAACAATAATTATCGGCAAAGTTTTGTTGCCCCTACGGAGATCTAAAAACAATAATCGGCAAGGTTTTGTTGCCCCTACGGATATCTAAAAACAATAATCGGCAAGGTTTTGTTGCCCCTACGGATATCAAAAAAACAATGATTATCAGCAAGACTCTGTTGCCCCTCCGGAGCTCTAAAAACAATAATTATCTGCAAGACTTTGTTGCCCCTCCGGAGCTCTAAAAACAATAATTATCGGCAAGGTTTTGTTGCCCGTACGGAGCTCTAAAAACAATAATTATCGGCAAGGTTTTGTTGCCGCTACGGAGCTCTAAAAACAATCATTATCGGCAAGACTTTGTTGCCCCTTCGGTTAAATGTTTAGCACAAAAAACGTAATGACTCAGGCCACTAAAAAGTAGCATTTTGAGGACTCAAAATATCCTGTACCTGTGTATAAGGCGCACCCCCGACTTTTGATTTTTTCTGACGGAAAAAAAGTGCGCCTTATACACAGAGATTTACGGTTTATTAACATGTATGTGAAGGTGACAGAAATAAAAAGATATTTCTGCCAACTGCTGTTCATTCTTCCATTGTAAAATTCAATTATACCTAATAACTAATGGGATATGATATAGATTTGCCCTATTATGATTGAAAAGGGCATCTATAGGCTGTAGACTAGACATGACCTACATGTACATACCTGTCCCGTTCGGAGTGATTTAAAATGAGTCTTGACTAGAGCCGGGTTCCCAGGTTTCGGCAGGTTCAGGCCCATACGTATCCTGCCGTCGGGATCGACAGAATCTGAGAACGTCCTGACGGCGCTCTTCTTGATGACGATGACGTCTTTACCGCCGGGATGATTGGTACTGCTCGTGCTGCCGTCCGGTGTGTAGAGATACGAGAGGAACATGAAGCCCATCAGGATGGTGTAGATCACCAGGAAGATGACAGCTGAACGCTTGCCCTAAATTTGAAAAAAAAAGGAAATATGACATAATTACACATGAGCATGTTTACACAAAAGAAGAGTCGACGCATCTGAATGGCAAACAAAATAAAAAATCATAATTTCAAAAATGAACAAATAAAAATATGAACAAAAAAGAAATATAAAACAAACAAACACATATTTTTAAGATTAAAAGTCAGATGAATCCCTGGCAACATAGTTACTTCTTTGAATTTAGTTTTGTTTAGTTGTGCTGGTAAATGTGACTGAAAACATTGTAAATGGTATACAGTGTACATGTAAAAATACCACATGAACATTTTTTTTTATAAAGTTAGTTCAAACCATACCTCCTGAAGCAACCAGTTGTAAATTAAATGTGTGATACTGATCAACTTTTGCCCGACATAAAATAAGACAATAATTAAAATAAAAAATAGGAAGGATTATAAATTGAGTAGAAGAATAACTTTAATCTGATTGGTCAATTACGGTGTAGATTTTTTTACTGGCTGCACATGATGCGATATCAGGAATCGATACCACTGATTTCATCCATTGCACTAACAACAGTCAAATTATGCAAATTTAAAAATCATGCTTTCCGGTAATTACCACAAGCATGATTTTGCCATGCAGCCGGTAAATCTGTAAAATAACAGATTTTTGTATTATTGAAGATTTGTTTTACCCCACTGTATAAAACAGATAATGTGCAGGTTTAATTCATTGGTCGGTGGAATTGTGTGCACCCGGTACAAGTACCTTTTAATTCCGTCTAAAACCCACTTGGCTGCGCCTTGTGGGGTCAAACCATTCAAAGGTACCTTGTGTACACAATTCTTAGTTTCATACCGACCCACTCAAACCTGTGCATCATTTGTATTCAAACAGTAGGCTTAACAAATCAATGGCCATTGTCTAGCAATCTGGGGTCAAGCATCATACTCTACTGACCTCTATAGAAATACGAGCAGATGTCAGGTTTAGGGCACGTACAAGCTATTGTCCCACACGCTAACAACTGCATCTAGGATTGTCGACTACTTTTTAGTACCAGTATATCTGATCATTGTATTAACTTCATAACATTTGCAAGAGCTTACATTTACATGTACATAATACTATACAGGTACTAATGTACATATACCATTTACACTCACCTTCCCTCCATACATGTACATTGTTCCTGTGATGAAATGAATACGGTCACTAATTCCTTGAATGAGTCTTACTCATTGTACAGTCATTACCATGCGATCATACATTTATAAATAAATTGATTTATTCCCTACTTCAACATGAAAAATACTTTCCTAGCTGTATTAATACAGGAATGTGTGTGTATCCAACATTTAATAGTTAGCGGTAGATTATAGAATTATGGTACACTGGCAAACAAAGGGATATTTTGCTCATTCTGTCCTAAAGAATAAAGAATGAGGTTGCAATTTCTGTGAATGAAAGCTCAACTGTCAGGAACATTCAGGGAGAATTTTTCTTGCAAATATGAAGAGAGTCCCCATAAAATGAAATTAATGAATAAAGAAAGGGGAAAAAGAGACAGAGAGATGGACAAAAAGTGAGAGAGAGAAAGTGTGTACGTGTGTGTGTGACAGAGAGAAGAGAGAAGGAGAGAAGGAGAGAGAGAGAGAGAGAGAGAGAGAGAGAGAGAGAAGGAAGGAAGGGGAGGGGGGATTCAGATAATATTATAAAGGTTTGCAGCAATTTCATATTTTCCAAAGTCTGCGGTTACATCATGTGCTGATATAATAATGGGATTATGAAGTACATTCTAGGTTCATTGCAAACATCGCTGCGTAACTCCAGGGAAAGAAGACACATGTGTTATCTCACATTAAGTGACATTTAATAAAGTAGTAATTATAACTTTCCCTCGGTGTTGCCAATTCTGTGACTTCAATTATTTTTTAAAAAATTAAATCGCTCTTATTCATGAATGGCATAGTGTTCTGCAAGAGAAATGGATTCCAGCGATTTTTGCACTTTCTGCTTTATATAAATGAAAACTTGAACATTCTTGATTACAGGTAAAAGATATAAATACAACATTGTAAAAAGGTGGTAGTAACTGCTATGGATTAACATATTTTATATTTCTTACCAGGAAGCATCTCGTATGATGGTCCATCGTAGCAGAACTGTTTTTATCGGCTGATGAACATGACTGGAAAAGAAAAGAACGTATTTCCTACGTTATTAATCACAAAGCCTTTACTTGATTTTATACATGAAAAATGACCTAGGTCTAACCGCTTCCGGGGTTCAATCGTGAGCCACCACGAACTGACCGTTACAGGAGAAACATGTACGTACATGTAGCTTGGTGCAGAGTGCACTACGTCGAGCTATACATTTACACTGTACATGTACATGTATATTATGGAACACCACCGGGAAGTGCTCCAGAGGTCCACCATTTTGGATTGCCTTGGCCTGCCATTGGGTGGACCAAAATGATACCCACAGTGCTCTCACCTCTGATAGCGCTATCTCTAGTAATGAGAATGGCTTCGTAAACTAGAATAGTACTTAGTAGGCATACCTACTCATCCATTTCTTTCATGGGTGGTGGAGAAAAAAAAAAGGAGTTTTAGCAATTTAGCTCCTGGAAAAAAATAACAAAGAAGTGTTATAAATACACTGTACCCTACCTGTATTTCTCTAAAAAAATAAGAAATTAGCTCAGATTGTGTGAACAAAACAGTATGTTTAAGCACTTTGTGTGTGAGGGATGCCAATGTACAGAATTTAATGTATGTTGTACTGTATGCTAGTAAATGAATCATGAGATAAAGTTGAAAAACAATAGCAAAACATTAAAATATCAATTTCAAGAACGATCCTGGTTTACGACCACTAACTGTACTCTATCATTTTTACTGGTACTCTTGTGCAAAAATCTTTATTGATTTAATTGCTTTAGTGTACATTGTAAATTTGAAGCGTTGTGTACACATCCTTTGCTCTGTTATTATTGATATTAGGTACAGGTACCATTTGCCGCACGATACCAAAAGACGTTAAAAGATGGGAGTTGTTGCTACCTTGTTTGGCGTTCAACAATAAGGGATAGAGCAACGTCGATCTGGCGCTGCTCAGTGGCTGCTGGGCTCACGATCAATTGGGCAAAAAGAATTTCCGTTTCGGTTTAATAAAATTTGGAGTGGACTATTAGGCTATTATTATTATTATTATTATTATTATTATTATGATCGAGCACTGCACTCACAATGTATAAAGTTGAGTTCTTGTCATGTGATTGCATTGTGAAATAACTGTCTGGAAGCGATTAGTAAAGGTTGATTACCGGTAAAGTAAACACATAAGAAAAGAGAATAGATGTATACGGTACCGTGAGATTGTGGAATCATCAAAATGATACAAAATCTACTCAGTCTGACTGAAAGTCACATGAACTGTACATAACAATGTGGATGTGGGACTACACAAACGTGCGGCTGCGGCATGACAGTTTGCTCCAAACACTTCAGTTATTTCTTAACATCATATATGATGGCATTTGAACAGCCATCCTTAGTTTCAGGGGACGTTTTTTGTCTTTCTTCTACAATGTTCTTCAATACCTGCTGTATGTACAATAACATAAAATAAATAAATAAGCCTACAAATTGTTTTCACCTTTTCCGGAACTCTACCTTTTCATTAAGCTTGTTTAAATAATAATGTGATGCTTTGACAGCACAGTGAATGACATCAGTATTAAAAACACAGAAACTTGGTTCCATTTTGTCTACTGTACTGCAATAAAGCATTTATTCACCTTATCCCCAGTACTCCTGTAGCCTTTGTATTTTCCTTTTGGTTTTACTTTTTCTCTCTTCAGAAGGTTTTTTAAAATGTAGGCCTATCTTACATGTACATTCTAATTGAATAATTAAAAGACTTAAATGTTTAAATGCTATTCATTTCCCCTAATTAAGGGTGCTTGCCTGCTTGGGATAACCTTGTACATTAGACAGCTGTAGTAATGTGTAGGTCATATGCAGTAAAGCACAAACCCAAATCACCTACCGTAATCTATCTCTCTCACACTCTCTTGCTCTCTCTCTCTCTCTCTCTCTCTCGCTACATGTAGGTCTATGGGATTAGCATTAGCAAAGAAGAAAAAAGGAAACTCAAAGACCCAGGATGTTAGTTCGTAAAAAGAGTATGGTTTGTTGACAAACCAGGAGTTAGCTGAATTATTTTCCTTTTAATTCAGAAGACACCGTATCTTATTTTACATCTACCATAGCGCGAATTATTCACAAACCCAAATCACCTACCGTAATCTATCTCTCTCACACTCTCTTGCTCTCTCTCTCTCTCTCTCTCTCTCTCTCTCTCGCTACATGTAGGTCTATGGGATTAGCATTAGCAAAGAAGAAAAAAGGAAACTCAAAGACCCAGGATGTTAGTTCGTAAAAAGAGTATGGTTTGTTGACAAACCAGAAGTTAGCTGAATTATTTTCCTTTTAATTCAGAAGACACCGTAGCTTATTTTACGTCGACCATAGCGCGTATGGAATTTATGCTAACTCTAGTTCAGAGTGAATTTATGCTAATTCTAGTTCAGAGCGACGTGTTCGCAGATGCCATGTTTTTTTCGTTATGAAAGGATCCACGGAAGACGAAAGTCTTATTATGTTGTTTTAGTTAGCCAGGAAATGTCGCCATAGAAGTAAGTTTATATTTAAAATATCATGCTTTTGATTTGTGGTGATTTAAGAATGTGTTTTGGTCAGGTTGTTGAGGGAAAATGATATTACATAATCAATGTGTACCGAGTACAGTTTATAAATCGCTATGCACAAAAATGTAGGCCTATAGTGATAGGGTCTACGTTGTATGAGTTACATTGGAGGTCTTATTGTTTTTAGAAATGACAATGATTCAATGCATAACATACAGACGTGATGTTAAATAATGCTTCATCTATGTAGATATGTTTAATACAACGTATTCAGGTGGTTTAATACGTTATTTAAGCTGGGGCTTATTGTTGGCCATTTAGAGTGATAGTTTAAGTAAGAAAGTTGAGTTAGTAAATACATGAATGAACAAAACAGAGTAAGCTTATAAACTGGAATGTTTGCTCTATAGATCTAAATGGAAGTTTGTGAGTTATGATGTAAACAAAGGACTAGGGGTTTAATCTTACATTTGATTAACGAGACGTTGGCCATTTAGAGTGGTAGTTTAAGTAAGAAAGTTGAGTTAGTAAATACATGAATGAACAAAACAGAGTAAGCTTATAAACTGGAATGTTTGCTCTATAGATCTAAATGGAAGTTTGTGAGTTATGATGTAAACAAAGGACTAGGGGTTTAATCTTACATTTGATTAACGAGACGTTGTTTCGGTGATGTTTAGATTAGTCTTCGTATTTAGCGGGGAAGTTTCCTTAGTCTTATTGAGTTTGTTATAATGAGGTTACACTACACATTTCAAGGAGGTAGTGAGTTGACTTGATTTCAGTATCAGAACAGAGCATAGAAAACGCACTGTCAGAAACTTCTAGATTTGTTTATCTGTTGATTCGATGATAGTATATGTCGAGCTTGAAGTGAATACAGTTAATTTGATGTAGGCATTTAGCTTTCATTAGCTTAGTTGATGTTTGGATATATCAGTGTTCATATATATGTGCAAAGATTGTACATGTATTTATGATCCTTTTGTGTCTCTTTTGCATTCATAGATTGAATAAAATTGCAGCTTGATTTTCAAGCTCTACCTATGCAATTCAAAGCGGCACTCCTGGTTTATTCCTTAACTTCAGTGATCCAGAGTAGAAGCGTTACAGTACATACCTTCTTCAATAATTCACACACCCCCATCTCCAAATATGAAGTGAAAACTAAATGAAAGATCACATCTACAAGAATTGTTGTATACGGATGTAATAATACAACAATGGATCTTCAAACACATAGCCCATGGACATGAAAAACTGGCAAATGATTTAAAGACTCAAGATATTTGGTAATTGATATACACAATAGTCAATACATCAAAGAACTCAATCAAGCACTCCCCCACATATGTCTGGAACTGATCCATTCATATCATTTGCAATAGAACAATCAGATTAGCAATGTTGCTCAATCAAAGGCCACTTGTAGTCTGGTATCCTAACCCCTTAAACATCTATCTGACTTTCAAAGGGGTATAGAGACTCAATTATGAAATCCTTATTCACAATTAAAAGTACTGCAAATCTGAAACATGAAAGTAAGTAGGTAAGGCTCTTGGAAGCATATTTTATTTCATTTTTTATTCAATGTGATTTATGTGTTAATGCAGCAATGGGTCTTTGAAATTATTAGTGTAGACTAACACTACCACTTCAGGGCCAACAAACTTTTTGCAGATGCTGGTGTTATGTGATGTGTATACACCCCCCCCCCCCCCCCCCCCCCCCCACCCCATACGTGACTCGTGACTCAAACAACGATGACAAAGCCAATTGGCATTCCATTGTATTCCGTTAGATTGCTAGAAAAGTAGAAAAACATTTTACATTCTTAAAATAGCGAATCTCTATGGCCCGAATTCACAAAGGAGGTTTGTCGACAAACCTTGTTTTTCGTATGTCATATCGTCCTTGTTTTCACGAAGTGACGGTAGTGAGGAAAATCGTAACGCAAAGTGAATGCAATTTTTTTTCACTACCGTCTCTTCGTGAAAACAGCGACGATATGACGCTTTTTACAAACCTGGTTTGTAAAGAACAAAAGGAGGTTTGGCGAAACAAAAGGAGGTTTGAGCTTAAACCTTCTTTGTGAATTCGGGCCAATGGGTCTACTACATGGAATGTCACAGCAGCACTTGAAGGGTTGAATGTATTAAAAAAAATATGCAGAACTGTGTTCTTCTCTTCATGTGGAAACTCGAGTGGAATTGAAAATACTTCCCTCAAAGCCACATTCACCCCTCTATCATTGCAATTAGTATCTTTAGAGGACCCGTTAATTTCTCATGACTATGATAGCCTAAATAAATACAACTTTATAGTGCAGTATGTATGTAACTGAATGGAAGTAGTGTAAATATGTTCCAGGGATTTTTTAATTTTTTTTTTTTGGGGGGGGGGGATGGGAGGGGTGATGAACGCAATCAGGCGCCGGGCGCCACAATTTCTTGCGCGAACACAAACGACTGTAGTCTACCCAGCGCTCAAAATACACGGGGGCGGTGGGCGATTCACCCCCGTGAGCTACATAATCGCCCCCGTCAGGTTGCTCACGGGGGCGATTGCAAAATTAAAAATCGCCCCCGTGGAAATATATAATAAAGATTATCTTTTCGTTTATAACTTTAACACAATATTGAGTATCAATTTTCAAACCTTAAACCAATGAAATGGAACTTAGATTAACGTGCAAGATTTCTCGTTCTATTATTACCGATTCAGCTCGCATTGCAGTGCCGCCGTCAGCAGTGGTTATAGGCCTACTGCGCCGTTAGTAACGGTACGTGTGCACGCTGCCGCGCCATGTCAGCTGGAGCTGAATATTAAAGCGGGTGGGGGGGATGCTGGAGAGGAGGACCACTCATCTATTTTATTTTTTCAGGGGGGGGGGGGGGAGGTGAAGCGCCGTTTTAGCATGACTTTCTTTTTAACTCTTACTTTCACCTATCTCAGATAACCCTAAGTTTTTGGTTGCTGCTTTATATGTAGTTGATAATGCATGATTAAAATAAAGAGAGAGAGAGAGAGAGAGAGAGAACCACCATCATTTTGCAATGGTTCAGGGTTTGTGTAATGTACATTTTGAAACCATTTCTTAGCGTCTCAATCCTAAAAAAATAGCGAAACTATTTTTGAGGAAAAGCATTATACTGAACTGAATAAAGAATAATAGCTTTATATTGGCTCATACTAATACTGATACGGGCTAAAGACAATGTGGTATTTGTATAGAGGTATTCCAAAATGACATTTTGATAATCAACATTTTGTTCTGGTATCATATGTATACACTCATAATACAACTGATCTTTATGATTTCTTAACGTGACATAGCTTCTTCTCCCCCTGCAAACAAAAAAGAAAACAAGGTTATTTAATGAAAGGATCATGCGACAAATAATCATTGTGATTCAAATTGATGCAAGGTTTTTCTTGAATAAGCAATTGTTTTCACCAGAATCTTCTTTGTAAAAACGACTTTTACAAATCTCAGCCATGCAAATCTGCCACTGTGTTGTAAGATCACTTTCAGATTAGGAGAAGTGTATTCTTTAATGAGTATTTTACATTGAATGGAATGTCTCAACTCAGTAAGCATGGCTGAGATTTGTAAAAGTTGTTTTACTAAGAAGATTTGGGTGAATAGCAGTGCTTATTCAAACAAATATTCGCATCAATTTGATTCACAATCATTATTTGTCGCTTAATCCCTTTTAATGACCTTGTTTTCTTTCTCGTTCGCAAGGGGTGAAGAAGATATGTCACGTTATTGACATCATAAAGATCAGTGTTGTATGCATATATATTATATACACAGGCCCCGAGGAACGTTTAGTGGGGGGCTAAAGTATTTACGATCAGGTAGAGGGTAGCAAGCGTAAATTGGTGTGTGTGTGGGGGGGGGGGTTCAGGGGTTTTAGGCATTTAATAACGGTCAGAGAAGCACAAATATTTTGATGCCGCATTTGTGTCACTGGCAGGTGAGGGGGGCGTTTTTTATTTTATTTTTTAAGGTAAAATTTACGTTACTATCCTATTTTTTTTGTTTACCAGTTTGGGAGGCTAGGGGGGGGGGGGGTGGGCCGGTAGAATCGGCCCGTGGATCCGCGCCTGTACAAAATAGCACACACACAAAATCGCCTCGCCGCTATGCGGCTCAGTAAAGAAAGAATGTAAAGGTTGCTCCGAATAATGAGGAGGAAATAATGTGCAGAACGGGAAAAAATCGAGAGAATGTCACCACGGGATGAAAGTCAGTAACAGCTATGTAGCTTATAAATTTGTAAGAGGGAAAATGCTGATTAAAATGAAAATGATGAAATAGCTAATAATTGAGGAGTATCATAGGTACCAATTCAATGGATATTTGTATAAAAAAGAGCCCCCGTCAGTACTAAAAGAGCCCCCGTGAGAAGGTTCACGGGGGCTCTTTTTTGGGGGGAAGAGCCCCCGTGGACAACAAATTAATTTGAGCCCTGAGTCTACCTGATGAGAAACAAAAAGGACTTTTTTGGGGCTATTGTAAACCTATTTTTAGTAATTCATAGCATTTTGAAGATAAAATTTCACTACTGTATGAGTCACCTATCAATTTTTATACAGCTGATTGATTTTTAAATTATCCTTGAAAAGTGCGGGGGGGGGGGGGAGGGGGGAGGGGGAATGTATATACTGTACATGTATATACTGTATACCCCCAACTCCCCCTCCCCCTCCCTCCCCTCAGGATCTTAACCCATGTTGACATGGATTAGATTATATTGTCAAACAATGATTCATATTTTGTTAATGAGGTTGAAAATATTTCTATATATTAATTAAAGCATTGTTATTTATTTTGGCAACATTTATTTATGACCTAATCCATTAATTTTGCTGATAATTGTCAGCTATAATGTACAATTGAAAATATTTCTCTACATTAAAGGTACCATGTCCCTTTTGCAGCCAACCTCAAATTCTGTAGAACTTTGCAAGAATTATGAATATGTCATGTATGTCCTATCTGTGAAATTTAAACGTTAGTAGTGTCCTCATATTCAAATTATGCAAGGAAACCCGTTTACTTGCTAGACTTCACTGTCAGACACTATTGAGTGACTGACTGGCTTTTTTACTTCATTGGTAATAACATACATGAAAAGAGTTGTAAAGGGTACATGAGCATTTGTCTACATCAATAACCCACTTCTTGTGATGGCCAAGATTAAACTGATTGAATCTTTGCGCAGCATAAAACGTATGACCATTTGGTACAATTGTCTGAAATTCAAGACTATTACTTTTGGGCTCTATAGCCCTAAAGTCGATCTGACAACTAACAGTCGGTCATTTTCAAGCCCCACCTTTTTTAGGGAAGTTCCAAATTAGTATAATCTTTCAAATGCAGTTGGAATTTAACTTTTTCATTTTTTTGGCCTGCAAATGGGACATAGTACCTTTAAAGCATTATGTTATTGAATTTGGCAGCATCCATATGACAAAATCCGTTAATTTCCTTACAATAAGTGCAAAAGTGAAATGACCAACAAATGAACAAAGATGTTAAAAGTAGACCAATTGATTTGCAAATAGTCTGGATCATTAAATACTGCTGATAATTGTCAGCTATAAAACAAAATAACAAAATGTGCCAAAACCAATATGATGTCATTTACTGAATTGCCATGGACTGAAGAATACCAATGTATAAATAGTAAATATCAACATGGTAAAGCACCAGGAATCATGTTTTTATATTTTGAAAAAGCATATATTTAATTTAAATCATGATTTTTTTATTTCTTTTTGGAAAAAGTTAAATTTGTGTTATTTTTACAATCAATGGATTCAATCGATGTACAGTACATGAAAGCAAAAGGTTGTGCGATGAACCATGGCTGGATTTCTGAAAGTTTTAATATTGAAAGAGTGGTAAGACAGGGGTGTCCCGAAGGCAAAATGATTATAACGGAATAACTGTGCATGTCATACGAACTCGTCGCTCATGTACAGTTTTCCGTTATAATCATTTTGCCTTCGGCGTAGACTAGAACAAGGGATGAGATTTAGATGACGTCATGCGCAGCGAGAGTTTAAACGCCCGCTGCAAGATTTTTATCATGGATATCGATTTTGACCCATAATTTCCTAAAAATGGACCATTAAACGGATTATTTCAGTCAAGTTGGTAAGTGGAACCGAAGTAGTTAAGTTTTAACCTAATTTACAATATAAAATGCATCGGATATGCAGCCTGTGAAAGGAGTAATTCGGGGATAAGTTTTGCAAGTTTGGTGTACTGATTTGCCCACATAACCCTACACATTTCGCGGGATAGTCTGTTTCGGTCTCTAAAGAGAGAGCCGACCCTACCCCAATAAGAGGCTAACGAACGAAAGAGACGGAAAATTCGGTCTAGGTCGAACCAAACCATTTGTTTCGTACAGTCCCGTACAGTCGCGATAGGCCATACTTCAGTCTCTATAATCGGAGGTCTAGTGGAGCCAGACGTAGTCTCAGTGGAACAACCGACGATTAGAGAGACTGAAGTTTTCGGTCTAGTCAAGACTAGTCTAGACTAGACCTATATCATGTAAACTTCTTCAATTAAAAAAAAAAAACCAACTGTCTTGTTTGTTAATTGTTAACCAATAAATGATCGATGAACAGGCATAAAGTAAAATAAAGTAAAATAAAGTAAAATAAAGTAAAGTAAAGTAAAGTAAAGTAAGTAAAGTCTGGTCTGTCTGATCTGGATACAACATGCAACCAGGGAGATGTGAGTTTACACTCACATCTCCCTGATGCAACATTAACCCGATTCGCACACACAATACACATACACTCACGATCACTCGCGCGAGGGCACTCTCTCCATTGACAACGATTGGAAGTCCCTTTTCGCCCCCCATCTCCCCGTCGCACTTGCACTGCACTCTGCTGGCGCTGGCTTGCGATTGCCAACCAAGGGCAAGGCAGTGGTATAATTAAAAGACGTGATTATAAACATAAAACATAGTCTAATTTTATCTTTTCTTTTACTCACCTTACTTGCAGACATAATATTAGACAATGACAATTGGTTTGAAATTCGTCACACCCACTCACATCATAAAAACGATGTCAAACATACGGTCGTTTGTCCGCCCAATTTTATTTCTTCATATCTTTTTCTCGCTGCTTGTAATGTTTGCGCAAATTGGTAGAAGAGGGCGCTATGCAAAATCATGCACTGGCATGGCCTGACACTTAATTTTTCGTTTGCTTGTTTTTGAAATGTTTTTTGTTGTTAAAATAACAAGAGTATAGTTACAGACCTCCACTGATACGAGACCCTCATATAATTATAATAAAGTCTAGGACCTAACCAAAATGCACCATGTCATTCTATGTAAATAAAACAAATTGGTTTATTATGGGTTATGAAGCAACACCTTCATCTTCATTATTGAACTAATTAATTTGCATAGAAGATATGTTTAAACTGTACAAATTGTTCCTTTTTATAATGTTTCCGAAAACATTTTCCTTGTTTAATGTTTTTCTCCAAAATTGCAGATTTGTATGACAAATTGTATACTTGATTGAATATGTACTATATTAGTTTGGATACTTATGGAAAATATTTTAAAAATATGTCTGTGTATTAGACAATATACTATGTTTATACTCTAAGAACAATTATGTTCCTCTTTATCATTTTGTATAATTATGAGAATCTGAATAAAGGCAAAAAAGCTTCTTTTTTTTAAATGGCCAAAGAGATTCGATCATACTGTGAGCATAGCATGGCGGGGCGTTCATTGAGATCATTATGGGTCATTTCAAGAGGATGGAGCACAACACTGGGGGTAGTGAGCAATTAAAAAAAATTATTTTTTGCCCCCCGAAATTTGAAAATCACGCCGACCCGATATTTCGCTCAGTGGTGGGGGGGGGGGGGGGGGGGAGTTTTGGTAGTGAGCACTATTTTTATTTTTTTGTCCCCAGAAATTTAAAAATCGCCCGACCAATATTTCGCTCAGTGGCGTGGGGGGGGGGGGGGGGGGGGGTAAGGAGCATCAAAAAAATTCTCGCGACAAACAAAATTAGAGGGGGGGGGGTCAACCTCCAAAACACCTCCCTGCGTACGCGCCTGGGGCAGGGTAATATTTTATCCCCCTTACTATTCGCTATTTATCTTAAGGATTTTGTGGGATATATCCGAATCAAATTTAAAAGGTTACGGTATTTATATGATGTGGTGTGTTCTGATGTTCTTGATAAAGTGATGAAGACTTATTTATTACTTTACATTCATTGCTATATGCAGAGTGATGAATCTTATCTTGGCTGAAATCCTGAGGAACTCAAAATGCTTTAGATGCTCTGTCTAACTACTGTGTGAAATGGAAATTGCGTGTGAATATAAATGAAGAAAAAAAAAAGATAATGACAATTTCTAGAGGGAAGGTACGCATGTAGGAAACGATATCATCAATGTGGTAGGCCTATACACGACTTTGTGTATCTTGGGGTTAAATTTAATTACAATGGTAATTTTTAAAAGGCAATATCAAAACAGGTGATTCAGGCAAGAAAAGCCTCATTTGCATGCAATTACCTTAAAGGTGCAAAGGTTAAGATTATCATTGGATATTCAGTGTGAGTTACGGTTAATCCTGCCAATACGCTATGGCTGTGAGGTGTGGGGTTTTAAGGATTTAAGTCAGATTTATTTATTTTTTCCCAAAAGATTCTTACACCTGACTGTATGATTTGGTGAGACAGGCCGTACTAAAATTGATGTTCAGGTTAAATGTAGAATGGTAGGTTTTTGGCTAAAAGTATTAAAATTTTCATTTAGATTCTTTAATCTTTTAAAATTACTTATGGAAAAAGGTACCCCAGTCTCAATTATCTAAATGGTTGTCATGCATGTGTAGAAAATGCTGGGCTAGGAAATGTGTGGCAAAGGCAAGAGGATGGATTCAGTAATACATGGATTCTTCGTGCTAAGCTCAGATTGACTAACACGTCGTCAAAGCAAGAAATATTGTCAAATGTTTGGTCAAATCGCATTTGTGTTAACTACCGAGTTATCAAGAACGAAATATTATTTGTAAAGTATTTGGTAAAGTTGAATCAAGAGGTGCAATCACTTCTCGGTGTCGATTCCGATGCAGGTCACACCGCTTACCAATGAATAATGGAAGGTTTTCAAGAATGTAATCCCGAAGAAAGTAAAATTGAATGTCTTTGTTGTAATTGAAAATGAATTTCGCTATATTTTTGTCTGCCCTTTTCTAAGTAAGAAAGGCAGTATTGTTGTGAGTAACCCTAGCACAATTCACATGGACAAATTGTTTCAAAGTTCAAGTTCAAGTTTATTTTCCACATGTTCATAAAAAACAACAAGTATACATACATGTTCAGACATATAAAAAATACAGTATTAACAAACAATAATATTAAGAGAAACAAAAAGCGAACAAAAACTAAGAACAACTAAATACATGTATATAAAAAACATGTGGGGGGACCAACAAAGGCCAGGGGCCTGTCGAGGCTAATCCCCAGAACAATATTAGATATTTTATATATAAAAACAAACCAAAAACAAAAACAAACCAAAAGCCCACAAACAAAAGCGACGTACAGTACATGATAAAACAAAATTAAGTAGGTAAATTAGACAGGCAAACAAAAAATTATATTGTACCACTATAAGTTTGTGAATTGTTTTTATGTAAAATATACAGTTTAAATTTACGTTTAAAATTAGAAAGTGTCGGACTGTTCTTAATCTCTACTGGTATTGAATTCCAGGATTTTACACCAGTGTAAGAAATTGTTGTTTGAGAGAAACTATATTTATATAACGGTAATCTTAAGTGATTTGAATTTCTGGTACTATGGCTATGAATTGTACAATTTGAAGTGAAATAATTATTAAAACTATCTGGTAAAATGTTCTTAAAAAAGGAGTACATAAAAATTGCAATTTGCAAACTACACATTTGATCCACTTTTAAAATACTCAGCTGCTGAAATAAAGGGGTTGTGTGGGCAAGAGGTTGTGAATTGCAAATAACACGTATTGCACGTTTCTGGAGTACTCCAATTCTATTTCTAAGATACAGTGCACTGTTACCCCATACAATATTGCAATATGATAAATAAGGTAAAATCATTGTGTAATACAGAGTTAAAAGAATCCTCATTGGAACAACACTTCTTAATCTATTCATTACTCCTACGGCTTGAGAAATTTTTGCACAAATGTCATCGATATGTAATTTCCATGTTATTTTATCATCAATTGTAACTCCTAAAAATGTTGTTTGTTTAACTTGTTGTATTAAGCAATCTCCAATAAATATTTGTATTAAATCTTCATTAATGAACTTATTCTTAGGTTTGAATATCATGTAACAAGTTTTATCAATATTTACAGCCAATCGATTAGCAGAGAACCACTTAGTAACATTTTTCATTTCTACGTTCAATACATTATTAACTTCTGCTACATCATTACCTGAAATAAAGAGACTTGTGTCATCGGCAAAGATAATTGAGTATAATACATCACTAATAAATTGAAGATCATTTATAAACAATAGAAATAATAGGGGCCCCAAAACAGATCCCTGGGGCACACCAACAGATATATTACATAAATCAGATTTGTGGTTGTCTATAAATGTATATTGTTTACGATCACTGACATAACTCCGAAACCATTTTAAGGGTGTACCTCTTATACCATAGCGTTCCATTTTGTTTAAAAGTATTTCGTGATTAATGCTGTCGAATGCTTTCGATAAATCTAAAAATATACCAATAAGAAATTTCTTTTCCTCGAATACTTGAGATATTTTGTTAGTTAATTCTACAAGAGCCATATATGTCGAATAACCTTTTCTGAATCCAAACTGTCTTTTGTATAAAATCTGATTTTGATCAATATATGAAATAAGTCTCTTATAAACAAGTTTTTCGAAAGTCTTGGAAAAAATTGATAAAAGCGAAATTGGTCTATAATTAGATAATTGGGCTCGATCCCCCTTTTTAAAAACTGGAATAACCTTAGCAATCTTAAGTCTATGAGGAAACACTCCTTGATCTAAAGAGAGATTAAAAATATTGCACAATGGTTTTAAAACAAAACAGATAGATTTTTTAAAAACTTTTGTATTAATGTCGTCGTCACCTGGACTTGCATTATCCTTAATTTTTTTTATAATATCTAAAATTTCTGCAAATGTTATGGATTCACAGAACATTGATTGAGAGTAATTTACATTATTTAAAAAACTGTTAAAATCGACATTCAAATTCGGCAAGTTATCAGCAATTTTAGTGCCAACAGTACCAAAATATTCATTGAAACCATTAACAATTACATTTTTATCATCAGTTGATTCACCATTATACAATATAGTTTGACATTGTTTCTTGCCATTAGATTTCTTCAAAACATCATTTATAGCTTTCCAGGTCTTATGGATATTTCCTTTACAACTATTACATTTATTATTATAATAATCACGTTTACATTTTCGTATTTCATCATTTACAACATTTCTATAACATTTAAATTTAGCTTCCCTATGAGGAGTAGGATTAGTTATAAACCTATGATACAATTTATATTTTTTTTTGCATTTTTTCTTCAAAGATGCATTAAACCATGGTTTATCACTTTTTTTTCTTTTTTGCACAGTTTTTTTTAATGGAAAACATGCATTATAAAGTAAAATATATTGATCAAGAAATGTACCAAATTTCTGATCAACATCATTTGATTTATAAACTTCTTCCCAATTTTGATTACGTAAAAGTATACAAAATCTTACAATGGAATCATCGTCAATCTTACGTTTAAATGTTACATAACTTATTATTTCATTTACAAAATCGCAATCAATGATTAAAAAAATTGGTAAGTGATCGCTGACATCAGAAACAAGTATACCTGACTTAATAACATTATCAGATTCGTTTGTAAATATATTGTCGAGGAGGGTTGCAGAGTGAGGTGTAATTCTGGTTGGTTTTGATATCACAGGTAAAAAAGAGTATGACGTAAATAAATCAACAAAAGTACTGACAGATGGACTTGAAGAAAGTAGGTCAACATTAAAATCACCAAGAAAGTAACATTCTTTCTTCTCATTCAATATTTTATGCATTATTAGTTCAACACCTTCCAAAAATGTTGATAATGGTTTACTTGGAGGTCTATATACTACAATAATAACAACATTGTTATTATGACAATAAATTTCAGCACAAATCGTTTCTACACAGTCATTCAATATCTCTAAGTCTTCTCGTCTTTTAAATTTTAAACAATTGTTAAGATAAATACCTACTCCTCCACCACACTTGTTTTGACGGTTGTTTGTAATAAAAATATAATTTGGCAATTCTAAAAGGGGTGTATCTGTATTGGTTAACCATGTTTCTGTTAATCCAATGAGTGAAAATGTATGTGTAAAACATTTCAAAAAATTACTCATATTTTCGAAATTTCTCTTCAAACTTCTACAATTAAAATGTGCGATAGAAAACATACCATTTCCATCACAAGAATTAACATAATCATCAAATTCATTAGGTAAAAAATATTTAGATTCAAACTGTAAATATCCCAGAGAAGTATTATCCCTTGTATTATTCAGTTAACGATATAAGGATACAGATATTTTGGCACATATGTATAAGTTTGATACTTTTGGTAATTATTTGCCTGTTACATATAAAATAAACATTTACAACTGACATTACAAAAACACACATATGTAACAATAATGAGTAAAAAATGTTGGGTTATAAAGAGATAACTAAATAATTAATTAATTTAGCTAAAACTGTTTGATAAAGAAAGAATAAATTTAAAAAATACAATAGTAAAACTTAGGTTATAAAAAGACATGATCAGGGACGTGTATTGAGGATGCAATTAACTCTATTTGAATCACTATGCTTTCAGTTCGCTTTGGACAGGATGTCGAGATCATGGGTACAAGTGATAAGTTTTCGTACCTCCTTGCCATCGGTGGCCTTGACGAGGGCAAAGATTCGCCCATCACTAGTCCAAGAAGCCAGAACATCCTTGCACTTGAATGTTTTTGTGTAGAGTTCTTGGTTTTTTGTAGTTAAGTCCTCCTGGATTGTTGTTTTCGTACCTTTAAGTTTGCGTCGTGCTCTGATGAATTCACTTCTCTTCTTGTAGGATGTGAATTTTAATAGATCGTGTTAAACAATTAAGAAAACTCGTAAGATTCCTAACAGTATATAATACAATTTTTTTCGTTGGATTAAGCCGGATTCTAAGGCTGAAAGGCATGGTCCTATTTAAAAAAAACAAAAAAAACAAGTGTACTCTTGGTGGTATAGACAAACCAATTAAACAATGTGACTTATATCTTTAAATTGTATAGTGTATACTTAGTCTTTAGCTCATGTTTATTATGTTTCAGAAATATAACAATGTAGTCTATGTATTTTAGTTTGTCTTACTTTGTTTTATATTTATTTCTGTATTGTAGTGTAAATATTTTATGCCCTCATACCCCTGAAGACTGAGGTCGATATAGTCTTATAGAGCCAAATAAAACTCTTATCTTATCTTATCTTATGAATAAATTAATTAACAGATAGAGATGGATTTGTACTTTTGCATTAGGAATAGGAGGCGTTGTTCCTAAATTCATGCGAACAATAACTGGGCATCGGTCCAAACCAAGATATGAGCTTTGAAGGTGAACTTGTGCAACTACAGCGGAATCAATATCATGTGTTTTGTGTTGATGCTGGTACGCATCAAGAAGTGAACGAACTTTTTGGTGTCAACAAACTTTTGTAGTTCTGATATATAGACTTTTTTTTAGTTTACATGGGAAACGACTGATAACAATTATCATGAATTTGGTTTGTTATTAATAAACGTATGGAATCAGAAGTTAATTTGTTATTTTATTAGGGTAAATGGCCCATACTGAATCTCTATTTTAGTTATTAATTCATCACAATGTTTCATTTGCCAGTGCTAAGATAAAATTGACGCTTGTATTTGCAGACTACGCATGACGACATTTCCTATACTACTTCTTACCAAATACGTATTCTCATAATAATCTTTCGTAAAACATAAACACAGAGCAAAGCAACTCGTTTACCGCAAATGGTTCCTGAAGCTGAGGTACGGTATAATTTAATTTAAAAATTGTTCGAGATATGTTTAGTCTTAATATTATCCTCTGCCAGCAGCTAGGTGATTATTATTATTGTCATCAGTGCTTGAAATTCACTGATGAATCGACAGCTCTCTCGATCTCGATCGTGAATGTGAACTTCACCATAAATTATGCCGGTGCAGTGCAGTGCAGTGCATGTGATGTGCCATTCGTTGCATACTTGCATGTGAAATGAATGGAGTGGAGACTGAGGCGTAGACGTGCTAGTGCAGTGCAATTCCTTGTTTTGGTTATTAAAATGAAAAAGATGAGATTTGAAAAGGGAGAAAAGGGGAGAGAGAAGCCTTACTTTTTTAAAAACTGTTATAAGGTCTAAAATCTACACATTTTATATTTAAAAAGAGAAAAAAGAGAGAAAGAAGGAAATTGATATTAATAAAAAGAAAGGAGTTGGTCTTGGTGATTAGATCTAGTAGTAGGCCTAGGCTAGTAACTTTAGTAGTTCTAGGCCTATATTAACTATCATCTAGATCTAGATCTAAGCCTAGATCTAGGCCTAGACTCTATGGCCCAAATTCACAAAGGAGGTTTGTCGACAAACCTTGGTTTTCGTACGTCATATGACGGGTTTTTACACGCTTTTTACAAACCTGGTTTGTAAAGAACAAAAGGAGGTTTGTCGACAAACCTAGCTTTGTGAATTCGGGCCTAGAAATCTATATAGAGTCTATAGACCTAAGTTACTAAGCTAAGTAGACCTTAGCCAGTTCTTGACTGATTGCCATTACCACAAAAAAAAGACTGTTGATAGATCGAGGCCGGTCCAGTCCGAGCATTGCCACCAGGTCCAAGGTTTGGCTAATGTACAGAGAAAGAAATATGCTCATGTATTTCCATTCTTGTTCTGCGCTATACACACTAGCAGTAGCAACTTCAATTGACCAATCAAGCTAAAACTTAGTGTTTGACATCACAGGCAAGGATGGCCAATGGAAAGATTTTTCCTCTTGTCATGCTCATGTAGACTAAAGTTAAAGGTAATACAAAGTTTTGGGAAATTTTTGAAAATTGGCTGGATAAAGATTCTTTACCATTTTGAAACATTTGGGTGCCCCTTGGGATGTATTTTAAGCACTAACAAATTTAGCACCTAAAACACTTCTGCTCTCGACAAAAAATGAATATAAGAATTTACCGGTGCTCCCGGTAAATTTGGATAATTTACAAATAGCGTCTACGGCTATACAATCATAGCTGCGACCATGAAAGTCTCAGAATATGTAGTTATGATATATAATTTCCAAACGGGAATAGCCAATTTGAATTGGTCGATTTTAGTCAAGAAACACTGTTTTATAGCTAAATTAATATCTTGACATTGAGAGGGAGCTATACAACGAAAAGAGTTTATTATTTACAATTTCATCACTTTAGACTCGATTTCAACCGCGAAAATGATCACTGAATATTGTAAGATCGCATTTGTTTCCAATATGTTCATTTGAACCAAATTCATGACCCCATACCAAAACTCTGTAATACCTTTAACTATATAGTCTTATAGACTCATCTCAATCATCATTATTGATTTAGTCTTTAAAATTTTATAATTATAGATCTAACTTTAAGTCTTTATATGAGAAAAATGGATTGGATTGTAATTATTATGGTTGCGTCAAGTTAGCTGGTTTCTCCAAGTGTCTCAGATCAAGACTTAATTTCTAGATCTACCTCCACTTCGTTTTATGAACTTTGTGCATACAAGTTTTATTGCAAAATATGTACCCCACTAAGGCCTTTTTAAGATATGATGCAACAAAACATAGATTTTTTTATGCCTTATGGTGTAAGAAACTTCAGTGTATTCAGGCGTGTACGCGGGGGTGGGGGGGGGGGGGGGGGAGGGTGGTGTTCTGAGGGTACGTCAAACCCCCCCCCTCAATTTTTTCGCTTTCGCTTTCGCTCAAAAGGGAGGGTTTGCTGATTTAAAAAAAAAAAAAATGCTCCTTAGCCCCCCCCCCCCCCCCCCCCCCTGATCGAAATATCGGTCGGTGGATTTTCAAACACCCTCCTTGAAAAAATCCTGCGTACTCGTCACATTTCTGTATCTTATAACACAGCGCTCAGTGAATGTGCACAAGATTTTTGTAGCACGCAGTTAACATTCAACTACAGTTGGTGTACATGTTTTTCTTTGAAGGTTTTTTTTTGTTGCTGTGGTTTACTGTGTCGTACCTGAATAAGCCTTAAGATTCTGTGCTCTAGGCCAGTTTTGTATTTGTAAACACAGACCTTTAAAATGCATTACGTAATCGGAGGGTTGGACAAACAAAGAACTATCGGTGCATAGCAGCCTACACTCTGTGTGCATACGATACATGTGTTTGCTTTATTCAAGGGGTTCTCGGATATTGTGCCTTGTGGAAACTGGCCTATTGGTATAACTTCCCCTTCCATTCAAAAGTGAGAGATTTGCAGGAAATTAGACATTGATCTAGCTTGTCTACGCCTGAGAATTTTAAATTTATATTGAGATAAGACAAGGCTTTACCACTATTCACAAAATCATAATTTCTGTCATGCACAATGAAGAATTTTTTTCTTTTGAATGTGAATGTCCAGGTGGTTCTTAATTGTAGGCTCTCACTTATCGCTCTCACTAATAGGTTGAAGGTAACCAATAGCAACCATGATGGGGGATAACGAGAGTCGAGACGAGACCTGCTGCTACTCAGGCAAGGCATCCCTGGAAAAGGAAGCAGCCATTGACATCAAAGATGCAGAACAAGAACAAAAGGTTTGTTTCTAAGAGGGATCTGGGAGGTGTTTCACAAAGATCCTATTAGTTGGACTTAACAATTATGGAAAGCTGTTAGAATCCATGAAAATATTTTGTAAAAATTATTTTAGAAGGCATCAAATATTGATTCAAATCAGTCATATTTTTTATTATCAAGGACATTTTATGTTCTTGATGTGGAATTTATAAAATGTCTAAATACTTGAATTTTTGCTTTTAAATATAATTTATTTTAAGGCTACAAATGGCTCTCTATAATGTTTGAGTCCTACTTAAGAGTTAAGTTCGACTTATGATCTTTGTGAAACACCCCTGTACCAATAAACATCAAGTTGCATTTGAAAGTGGAGGATTTGTTTGTGACAGTGCAAAGGTTACATGTATGTGGACTTCTGAAAACGTTGCTTCCTTCTGAGGCAAATTTGTTATACCCGGTAAATCTCTGACAGTAGCTTTTAATTTACATAATTTATGAAATGGCAAAATGTTTGGAAGAAATTCAACTTATGTTGGATCTTGCAGTTTTTAATTGTGATTCAAAATGTCAATTCCACTGCTAAGTACTATTCGATAACAATCTCGCGACTAATCTGATAGAACTATAACAAAAATCTAAAAACTGTAGCTTGTATTATAAGTAATAGTTGTGAAATGATTTGATCTTGATCCTTTACGTCTTAAATACCCAATTTGAATGCTCTTGTTTTCTCACCCCAGAGTCGGTTGTCTCGATTCTGCGAGGTCTTTGCCAAGATCGCCCTCATTGTTGGTGGGTTCATCATCGTCCTGGGAGCACTTCGGAACACCCTCACATACTACCTTCAGCTGTTTTGGGGCGTGTCGGGCAATTTCTGGATGAGGCAATGGGGGAAGGTTTATGACGTCTTTGAAGGAGATATACTGAATATCTCAATAAGTAATGACAACGTCCTTTTTTTCCTTCTTAACATTAGATCGAATAGATTGAAGTGTGAATGCTAGACAAGACTTATGCATGTAAACAATAGCTAAGAAGTGTTGATCAAAATCACCATGACCTAGCACACTTCTAGGAAATTCCAAATCTCTCTTTATGAAAACCTATGCTTTTTGTTTCTTTCTTAGTGGACTCTATATGACTGATGGGATGACATGTATTCAGAAGTTGCATTTGTCTTGGGTTAAACATTCATTGAAGTGACTTTTCCTGAATTGGAACAGTGAATTGAAGCAGATATAAAAGGTCATAACATATGTAAAGTCTTACTATTACATTGATTTAAAAAAGGAATCCAGCCATCTTTAGCAGAGTAACTATTAACCCCTTTGGAGCCAATGTAATTTTCACTTAACACCCATTTTAATCCTGAGTTATCGCGAGCTTTCGTAATCATTGAATGAGGAATGAGTTGTGAAGATGTAGATGATTCACATTTATAACGTTATCTTTACCACAGACTGGAAAAGCAGAGTTGCAGTGTACATACATGATGATAGAAATGCATTCAGCAAAATATATAAGCATAACTTATTATTGTTTATCAACCCTTATGTGATTATCTTCACCCTTTTCTCTTTATCCAGCTATGTTGGTGCTCATCATTGTCCAGTATTGGCTAGTGTGTGCATTTTTCCTGATAGTGGATCTTGTGAGGCCATCATTCATCATCAAGTACAAGATACAACCAACCCAGAATGACCCTGTAAGTTTTCCCATGGTTATACCAAGGAGACCGCCACCACATTGATAACAACCCCTCACCCCCCCCCCCCCCCCCCCCCCCCACAAAAAAGTTTTGTTTCCTTGAGTGGCCAAGAATCTTACATGTTTCCTCTGTGCAACCATCAACACAGAGGCTATCAATAGTTACATGCACCACCATCCAGCAGATGCAGTATATTCTTAAACAATCTATAGCATAATCCTAGGTGTTTCTAGACATTTCCAATCAGTATTTATCACTATAAAATAAATGACGTTTTGAGAAACTTCAGAAAATGAAATGAAAAAGCATGTGCCCCCTTATGTTTTAAGTCATTTCTCTTTTGTGGATATAGGCATGATCTTTCTATGATTTTAGTTCAAATTATTGATGCCATGTGGAATTATCTTATTGATGACCTAATCATAGATGCTCATCCAAAGATGGGGTTCTAAGAGAATCCTCTAAGAGTACCCCCTGGAAAGAAGCACCTCAATGACCTCATATACGTTCATTCAACTTTTATGACCGTTTTTTTGTTGCTTTGTACAGATCCCAGAAGGCAAGCTACGCAAGGCGGTGCTGACGGTGCTCGCTAACCAGACAGTGGTTGTATTTCCCATAGCCGTGGGTGTGTACCACTTAATGGGGTGGAGGGGTTGTGGCTTTAGCGCGGCGGAGCTTCCCTCCTTCCAGTGGGTCATGCTGGAGCTCTTTGTCTTCCTTATCGTCGAGGAGTTTGGCTTCTATTACTCACACAGGTAAGGAACATATATGTTATGGGGTTGTCACTAATTAAAGACTGAAATAACTCACTGTGTACAAAGATGGCTGACTTGAAGTGTCTCTCTTTATTCAGTAGTCTGTCACCCTCTATCTGAACAGGCAGTACATTGTTATAACTTGTCAAACTCATAAACAAGATATCACAATATAAAATGCATTTTCATTGCAAAACATGGTGTCAACCTGATGAACAACTAACTTCTCTTCTTTGCCTAGACTTAATATAGAATACAGGATTCACTGATTTTACATAGGCATTTATAGGTTGATAGCTATTATAGAAAGATGTAGTATAGAGGGTATTACATAACATTTAACATTACTTCCGTGCGCTTTAAATGATGTTGATATCATCCGTTGTTGCAGAGTTTTAGCTCACATACAAAATGCATACCTTTCCTACCATGATTTGCACCGTGTTGTACAGGACAATAGAAAATTTGCAATCCTCACAGAATCTCATTTTCTTTTGGTACGAGTTTTAAAAGTGGTGTATGTAGATAAATGTCTCGCAAAAGAACATTGTGCCTTAGCTGAGATTTTATCATCAGAACCTTACATCTACAGTCCTGTGTCATTACAAATCCAATGGTCATCACAACATAACAAAACAATTCATAAGCTAGTTATCAATTTTTCTTTTTCAAAACACTATTTTTGGAAGTATAAAATACTTTCCTATGTCATAGTGCCCTGAATACATTTTACACAATTGGCTCAAACTCCCAGGCACACTTGATAACCTTATACTTGAACATTTTATTGGAAACATTCTTATTCTTCAGAGAACCCATATGAAGATACACTCTTATTTGTGACCTATTGCAAATTGTTCAAACTCAGATTGTCCCACCATCCAAGACTCTACAAGTACGTCCACAAGAAGCACCATGAGTGGACTGCGCCCATCAGCGTGGTAGCCATCTATGCCCATCCCATCGAGCACATCTTCTCCAACACCCTCCCCGTCGTGCTGGGCCCGTTGATTATGGGCTCGCATATCGCTACCCTCACAATGTGGGCCATGTTAGCCCAGGCGTCGGCCATCAACTCTCACTGCGGGTACCATCTACCCCTCATGCCTTCCCCAGAGGCGCATGACTTCCACCATCTAAAGTGAGTTCGGGAATACCCTGATTGTATGCAATCTATTTATGTCTCTACAGTATGTCATCTTGCTATAGCATTATATCTTTCATTTATTTTAGGCTTTCATTTCTATTTGTGTTTGGTCTCTACAGACCATATAACACCATCAAAATGATGAAATCCAGTTTAAAGCAAAAGCTCTGCAATTAATGACTTGGGCAGCCTACACAAGTTAAATGTTACCAGGGGCCATAGTGACTCATTAGGCTAAAATAGGGGTTTCCCCTTTGCAGCCCTATACATACAGGATGTAACCTTGTGTGTCATCCTTTAGGGGAGCCTTGGCAGAGAAAAGACAACGATTTCATGCTTACACAAAGAAAGAACAATGAATCTACAAAGATTTTTGTTTTCTATTCATTTTTATAACGAAATGCATCACTTTTTATTTTACGCTAAGATCAGAAATGCTCCTGTGACAGCATAATGCTACAATGTAGGTATCATTTTACGTAAAGTTGATGCAAATTTGGGTTAAGCTTTAAAGTTGTTAATCGGTGGGCATGGTGAACAATGAAGCAGTTGAGAAATTGTGAGATTTTTTATATTTTTAAGGGGTGCCTTGATGTGCTTTGAATGTATAATCATTTGCTTCATACATTTCTTGTTTCTCTCCTTAGATTTACTAATAACTTTGGCACGCTGGGTTTCCTGGACCGTCTTCATGGTACCGACGAGCTCTTCCGCAAGACCAAGCCCTACCACCGTCACTTCCTTCTCCTGGGGCTCACCCCTGTCTCCCAGACCTTCCCTGATGATTCCAGGTGTAAGAATATAGAGTGCGACAAGGATGAATAGCCTGTAGTGACTCCAACGACTCCCTAGTAATCCCCTCATGACACCCTTTAGATGCCCTTGAATCATAATAATATTAAGATTTTTTTTTACCCGGTGAAGCCTCATCAGCGGCTTTAATGCTGTTCTTTCTTAGGGCCCTGCAATTATTATAACCCCCATCAATTGCCAGGTACCCATTTGAATGTGGCAAATGTGTATTGATATCTTGCCAAAGGAAGTTATTGCCAGGATTGGATATGAATTCTAAAACCTTGGATTGAGAGTGAAGCGAATGAACCACTAAACCACGACAAACACGCTAGTAATCCCCTGGTAACTCCTTTATGACCCCCTCTATCCCCAAGTGACCCACACATAGAACCTTGTAACACCTTTATGACACCTTTGTAAACCTTTGTAACACTCTAGTTACATGTATATGTTACACTCGCACAAAATTTTACTTTGCATGGTACAGGCACGTCTATATCTTGGCTGAAGAAACAAAATTAAAGGTAAAACTTGACAAATTGTTTTAGAATTGTCTTAGAAAGGTATCTTGGATTCACTGTGACAAAATGGTTGTTTATCATGGGATTCGGGGAAACCACAATGCACTGTGGGATCGTGAGGAAAAAGGTGGATTGTTTGAACACCTTGATGAGATCAACATGCAATGACAATAACAAACAGAGACATGCATGTATGGGACTGGGAAGTAATCTGATGGTCCATGGATTACCATTTCAATATTTTTTTGTATGTAGAAGAGCATTCTAAATGTGTTCCTTCTGAAGGACTGTGTGTGTTGTCACATGGGAATAGAACATTTTAGCTAAGTCTTGTTTACATGTTGTATTTTTTAATTACCTTTCAGAAAGTGGACATGCATGTTTTGTATTACTCAAATGAAAAGTAGAATTTATTTTTACTTTCCTGTATTTATGAACAAGTTGTTTGCCATGCTGTGAATAAGAACTGTATTTCTGCCATAGAATAGGTTATGAACCATCATGTGAAATATATATTTATGTTCATTGAAGTTCGGTATGCCAACAAGAAATATGCTTTTATGATGTTAGTAATAACGAGAAAATAACTTTTAAGCTCTATTGCAAAGTGTACTTTAGAGAGAGAATCGGATGGAGATAGACTGAGACACCCCCCCCCCCCCTCCCCCAACAAAGATGGAACAAACCAAAAAAAATGGTGCGCATGTTTGCATGTAGAATAGAGTCATATATATTTAAGCAGACATGGTACATGTATTTATATAAAACTTTCAAGACTATTTTTCTTGTAATGTAATAGTGTTTGTGTGGGAATTGTGTGTTACATGTATTGAAAGCTGGTGCTGCCGTTATTGCTCAAAGAAAATGGAGATGACGTTAAGTAGATGTAGATAGATTAGATTGATTAAAGAAATAATCATTGCAGTAGCACTAATATGCAAGTTTTCCACATTTCCTAGATGTTTATTGCTCATGAACGGTTGTCTTGTTGCAGGTGTGGTAAATGGGTGATGCAGGTAGATAGTCCTTGAATTATTTGAGCACAATTTACTACACTGAAGCTGAGCATATAGCAATGTAACAAAATTGGGTATTCCTTGTCTAATGTGCCATATAAGTACATTTGGTATTCTTCTTTTCCTCATTTACCTTCCCCTTCTCATATTCTCCTTCCTTTCTTATTCTTCTTCTTTTCCTTCTTATTCTTCTTCTTTTCCTTCTTAATCTTCTTCTTTCTTCTTACTTCTTTATGTTTAATACATTGATTATGTAGGAAATAGTTTTTAGTCAAAATATTTGCTTTAGGCTATTGGCATGCTATTTTATATATTTTACAAAAGCTATTTTACAAAAAAAACTATTGTATAAAAAATTCGTCCTACTCAAATGTGGACAAAATTTGGGAGTCTGAGCCAGTTGTCTAAAATGTGTTCAGGGCATTATGACATAGAAAACATTTTTGAAAAGAAAAATTGATTAATACTTAGCTTATGAAATTGTGTTTTTATTTATATTTAATCAGAAAGAGATGATAATTATGTTCTTACTTGGAATGGTTTAATTGATTTACGTCAGGTTTGAGCCTGTCAGGATAATAGTCAGTTTTAATCTGCAAGTTGAAGTTCAGCTTCTCAAGAAAGTCTGTAATGGACATGAAAATATTTTAACTAGGTATCTGAAATTTAGTTTTTACCTTGAGATATTAATGGTTAATGAAAAAATATAGTTTAGAATGAACTATTTTACACGATGAAATCATAAAATTATATGTGTTTTGACAGAAGTAATTTTAGTGTGCTGAAGAGGTTGTGGGTAATATATTCGCTTTGTGAACCTTGCGCTTTTGCCAGTTTGTAAAAATAAGTGAGAGCAATGAAATATGTGATTTATTCTCTCTTGAAATGAAAAAAAAAATCTAAAGAACCCTTGAAATAAATGGTTATATCACTTAAATCTATGCTATGAATACAATATGTTTTTATTTATATCTTCATCAGATATGTGTCAGTCGTAGCTTGGGTCTAGCCATTAGGAAGGGGAGTGGAAGGCTGGACTTCGGTCTTAATTATTGGATGAAACATCAATTTTGAAAAATATAATTTTGAAATTTGTTATCCATTGTTAAAAACAAATTGAAAAGGATCATATTTGGGGGATTATAGTCACTAAAAATTGAATTGAATCAATTACCTGGGCTACCGATTGTATGTGGGATGTGGTCCTGTCATCTCATCATTTTTCCTTTCCTTCCTCTCTCACCATTCAATACGAGGGATGTTTACCTCAAGTCCCCATGCCCCCTCTGGTTACACCACTGTATGAAGATTTGGACCGATAATGTGCCACTGGTGAAAACAAGTGAATGAGGATTTTTGTACAGGACATAGTTCTTGGTAATCTCAAAATGGAGCTATATTTCAAGGAAACTAAGAATCACTTATAATACAGGGGCAGATCCCATCCCGGATGCTGTTGCGGGGATCGGGGAGGGGAGGGGGGAGGGGATGCATGGTCTAAGGTCAGATATTCTCTAAACAATTTTATTTTTTAAAAAGAAGACATATTTTAAGGTACTATTTATTAGTAAAAAAGACAAAGGTTTACTCATTTTCAGAACCACAATTACAATGAGGTCAGTGAAAATACACTTTGTTGAATCCTTCCCGCTCGCCCCTCAATGCACAGTGTAGGAATAACATAGTTACACATTGGGCAAAAGACTTGATCAACCCATCTTGGATGATGTTAAATAGCTCCATCTTCGTCAAACATGATCAGGAAGAATTTATGAAAAGCTAGTACAGTATGAGATCTTAAGCTGGATAATGACAAGCGGGCGCCTTTGATTCCAGAAGCACCAGATCCATTAAAATACCGAGTTTGACAAACTTGGTTTCAGTTGTTCACAGCATGGCGTATATTCTTTTGTTCTATGCTTGCCAAACAAAGCAGTAATCGCCATTTTGTGCCCAATTAAGTGGATCCGGGTTGGCCAAATTTTCCTTATCAATGGCACTGAGAAGTGAGAAGAACATTATCTTAAATTACCAGTTTGTACATTGAAATATGAAAGTGGTCAAAGATGCTTATTTTATTATTCTTATACAGTTTAGTTCGGAAATACAACCAGCGTACAAGCAGATAGACTATATCCGTACTAAATTAGGATCAAGTTAAGTATTATTCATTTCCAGTAAAAGAATATTCACATACACATCAGAAATCAGATGCTAATCATTATCGAATCAAGGGTACCATAAAAGACGAAGGCGGTCTTGTCGAGATAGTCCCCTTATGAATCATTGTAAAACCAACCCAGAAAAATTAGTGATCATGAATTTAAGTTACGTCACCATTTTAAATCTACGCCCCAACGATTTACGGGAGGAACAGATGCTATTCACTAAACATCTCCATCACATCACTGTCGGAGTAGACAGTATTCAATGTTAAAGGTTGGGCCTTTCCACGTTTAAATCATCTATGCAAATTTGAGGTCATTAGTACATGCACAGGGTTTTACAAAAAATTTTTGTACTGATAGAGATTTTTATGAAATCAATCTACACATGCTCGTTCAAGTTTCATCGAAGCAAATATTGGCATGGTTTGAGAATGAGGTTAATATACCTTTACATGTATTTGGTAATTGCTATTTAATTACCTGTCTAATCAGCACTCAAAAACCGAGCTCTATTTTGAGTGATCACTGATGACGTTGTCAGTTTAATAGCCGACAAATCAAACAATATCATTATCGATAAGCCTCGACCTCATATTCTTCATCTCTTTCTCTCTCATCTCCCTCCTCTCTTGCTTACACTCCCTCCACTCTTCCCATCTCTCCTCCTCTCTCATCTTTCTCACTCTCCATCTCCCTCCTCTCCGGCTTTTAATCTCACTCGTTTCTCCCGCTCCCTATTTTCATCTGTCTCCCTCTCTCTCTCTCTCTCTCTCTCTCTCTCTATATATATATATCTCTCTCTCTCCCCCGTCCCTCCCTCTTTCCCTTCTCTACCTAATTCTCTCTGCTCCCCTTTTTTCCTAATGCACCCGACCCCTCTGTCATACAGAACGCCACGGCACCAACTCTCTCTCTCTCCCTCCATTTTAACTGACAGCCTATTAACGAAATTAGATAGAGCATCGTCAAATTCGGACCAATAAAATAAACCCAATTATTCAAAGCTAAATCTTATTTCAAAAGTACATCAAAATACCAAAAATGTCAATCTTTGAAGGTCACGCTGTTCATCATGTTAATCTGTAATTCTATATAATGATCTTTTTACTCTTTTATAATAAATTGAACGAGTAAAATCAAGTATCATATCTGACGGATCCAGGATTTATACCCATGAGCGTTTATAATATCTGCATGCGAATCTTTATACGCCTATGCTATAGCGTGTTGGCAGTAATACAAAAATTAAAATAGTGGGCGCACCCCTCCTGGACCCCTTGCATTCGCTACTATATCCTAGCCAGGGTCGAAGTTACAAAAAGTGCAATGTAATCATGTTGTTGAACTTAGAGAACGTCCACAAAGCTGTTCAATTTACATCAACTGAATCCGGCAAGCCAAGGATACAACCGAGGGAGGGGGGGGGGGGGGTTAGAATTATACCACCAGTACTTTTTCATATATAAGTGTATGTCATTATCCCTAACAATATGGCAATTCATTTTATATTAACCTTGATATACAAAACATCCTACAAACATTCATAATCCTTAGACATAGACAAGACTGGAAACAGTGGAGGGGCTCAAAATATAAAAAAAAGGCGGGGGCACTCATCAAAAGGGAAAAGGGCACTTAATAACAAGGAAAAGGGGCACGTTTCAAAATATAAGGGGAATAGTATATTTGTAAAGCGCTTTGAGACATTTGTATTAAGCGCTATATCAAAATTAATTATTATTATTATTATTATTATTATAAAAGCATTTGATCTGGCACTAATTAAATAGTGGGGCAGCTGGCGGCCCGGGGATGATTTGTTTTCTTCGTAGGATGGCAAGTGAAAATTCATGATTGCGTATAAATGCAACCTAGCCAATCTTCGTGTGCAGTCATTCATTCATTTATCACCAGAATGTTCAAGATGTTCAAGCCACGGATGCTAGAGCACCAGGGTTTTTAAAAGGTGCTGTCAAAATGTCCTTGTACCATGTTTGGGTTGATTCACCATATTATGTGCATGCGTTACTTTAATCTTAAATCGTCTGAGAGTTGAATCCGTTTCATGATTCAATACATCATTCTTTAAAGTGACCCATGCAATGATCCAAGTATCTAAGCTTTCGCAGGACCGTGTTTCAATCCACAGGATAACCTTAAATGATTTTAAACAGCTGACTAACTATCTAAGATATCTTTGCTCTGTAATGTGCATTGCAATATTTCACATGATAATGTATTTGCCTCAAATAGCACATGAAAACTCAGAGTTTTAGCCTACTAACATCGAAGACTCAAATTGATAACTGCAAGAAAGAACACAAGTTAATAACTTCCGAAGATATTGACAGGAGACTTTCATTTTAAAAAAGAAGATAGCTTCTCCATTATACTTTGTCCAATGAGAATGACTCAATGGCAAGGTCATAGGCGCCGGAAGTGGGGGGGGGGGGGGGGGGCAGGGGGGCAGTTGCCCCCCCAGTAAAAAAAAGTGGGGGAGGGGGCAAAACGCATTTTTGCCCCCCCCCCCCTCCAAAAAAAAAACAGAAAAAGAGTAAACATGGTTTGTATTTTTAATCCAAAAGAACGTAACAATATTAAAAACCTGAATTAAATCACATATACAATTCCATTCAAAGAAAAGCAAAGTTCTCAGGAATTAAATATCATAAACATTGCGCATGCCACCTATACGGTATTTATCAATGGAGGTCTCTATAATAGCGATACGCGCATATCGTGGACATATTGTGCGAGAATGGGAAAGCGTGTCCGTTTTTTTTTTGTTATAGGGGTGAGAAGACATGAGCCCCTGAACGCTGGCGTACTGATGGGGGGGGGGGGTGATGTATTTCTTATTCGAAACAAGTGATTTACAAATGTTGATGTTGTGACATAATTTTCCGGCATTTTTTCTCCATTTTTTTTTGTAAGTCATACCTTTTTATGCGTTTGTTGGAAAATAAGAAAATTCCCAAATTACAGTCAGGCGATATACGCTAATTTAGAATCCTTTATGTCGTGGTCTGCAAAGTGGCTAAGCTCGACCCCCCCCCCCCTCCTTTTTGAAAAAGTATGTTAAAGAGAAAAAGAAAGAAAGACGGAGAAAAAAATAAGTGACCTGCCAATGTCACAAACAGGGAATAAAAAATGCTCATCTGACGGTAATTAAATGCTTAAAACCCCAGAGTTTACGGGGGCTCCGCCCCCGCACCCCACCAAGGGACCTAAGACGGGCCCCTGGTTGCTCATTTGACTGTAATTAAATACCTAAAACCCCCGAGCTTCCAGGGGCTTTGCCCCCTGGACCCCAACAAGGGCTCTAAGGCGGGCCCCTGGATGCTCATCTGACCGTTATTAAATACCTCAAACCCCTGAGCTTCAGAGGCTTTGCCCCCTGGACCCCACCAAGGGCCCTAAGGCGGGCCCCTGGATGCTCATCTGACCGTAATTAAATACCTAAAACCTCTGAGTTTCTGGGGGCTATCCCCCCCCCCCCTTGGAACACGTCAATTGCCTTACAGAGGGCCACTGGATGCTCATCTAACCGTAATTAAATACCTAAAAACCCTAAGCTTCCGGAGGCTCAGCCCCTTGACCCCCTGCCGAGGCTCATGCCCTGGACCCCACGCCAATTTACGCTCTACCTGATCGATAATACTCCACTTTGAAAAACGTTCCGCGGGACCTGCATGTAACGTGTAAGACTGGTGGTGATGCAGATTTTTCGTCTGCCCCCCCCCCCCCTTCCGAACTTTTTTCTCATTACGTCA